AAACACATGGATATTGTATATATATAGATAATCTTATGAATATTGTATATATAGAGATAAACTCATGGATATTGTATATATATAGAGACAAACACATGGATATTGTATCTATAGAGATAATCTCATGAATATTGTATATATAGAGATAAATTCATGGATATTGTATATATATAGATAATCTCATGAATATTGTATATATATAGATAAACTCATGAATATTGTATATATATAGAGACAAAAACAAGAGTATTGTATATAGAGATAAACTCATGGATATTGTATATAGAGATAAACTCATGGATATTGTATATACAGATAAACTCATGAATATTGTATGTATAGAGACACACACATGAATATTGTATGTATAGAGACAAACACATGAATATTGTATGTATAGAGACAAACACATGGATATTGTATATATAGAGATAATCTCATGAATATTGTATATATAAAGGTAAACTCATGGATATTGTATATATATAGAGACAAACACATGGATATTGTATATATAGAGACAAACACATGGATATTGCATATAGAGACAAGCACATGGATATTGTATATATAGAGATAAACACAAGAGTATTGTATACAGAGATAAACACATGTATTGTATATAGAGATAAACACAAGAGTATTGTATATAGAGATAAACTCATGGATATTGTATATAGAGATAAACTCATGGACATTATATACAGAGATAGACACATGGATATTGTATATAGAGACAAACACATTGATATTGTGTAAAAAGATAAACACATGGATATTGTATATATAGAGATAAACTCATGGATATTGTATACATAGAGATAAACTCATGGATATTGTATATATAGAGATAAACTCATTGATATTGTATATATATAGATAATCTTATGAATATTGTATATATACATAGATAATCTCATAGATATTGTATATATAGAGACAAACACATGGATATTGCATATAGAGACAAACACATGGATATTGTATAAAGAGATAAACTCATGGATATTGTATATATAGAGACAAACACATGGATAATGTATATAGCGATAAACACATGGATATTGTATATATAGAGATAAACACATGGATATTGAATATATAGAGACAACACATGGATATTGTATATAGAGATAAACACATGGATATTGTATATATAGAGACAAACACATTGATATTGTATATAGATATAAACATATGGATATTGTATATATAGAGACAACACATGGATATTGTATATAGAGATAAACACATGGATATTGTATATATAGAGATAAACACATGGATATTGAATAGATAAACACATGGATATTGTATATAGAAATAAACACATGAGTATTTTTATAGAGATAAACACACTTGTATTGTATATAGAGATAAACACACGAGTATTGTATATAGAGATAAACACACGTGTATTGTATATAGAGATAAACACACTTGTATTGTATATAGAGATAAACACACGAGTATTGTATATAGAGATAAACACACGTGTATTGTATATAGAGATAAACACACGTGTATTGTATATAGAGATAAACACACGTGTATTGCATATAGAGATAAACACACGTGTATAGCATATAGAGACAAACACACGTGTATTGTATATAGAGATAAACACACGAGTATAGCATATAGAGACAAACACACGTGTATTGTATATAGAGATAAACACACGAGTATAGCATATAGAGACAAACACACGTGTATTGTATATAGAGATAAACACACGAGTATAGCATATAGAGACAAACACACGTGTATTGTATATAGAGATAAACACACGAGTATAGCATATAGAGACAAACACACGTGTATTGTATATAGAGATAAACACACGAGTATAGCATATAGAGACAAACACACGTGTATTGTATATAGAGATAAACACACGAGTATAGCATATAGAGACAAACACACGTGTATTGTATATAGAGATAAACACACGAGTATAGCATATAGAGACAAACACACGTGTATTGTATATAGAGATAAACACACGAGTATAGCATATAGAGACAAACATACGAGTATTGTATATAGAGATAAACACACGAGTATAGCATATAGAGACAAACACACGTGTATTGTATATAGAGATAAACACACGAGTATAGCATATAGAGACAAACACACGTGTATTGTATATAGAGATAAACACACGAGTATAGCATATAGAGACAAACATACGAGTATAGCATATAGAGATAAACGCACGTGTATTGTATATAGAGATAAACACAGAGATAAACACACGTGTATTGTATATAGAGATAAACACACGTGTATTGTATATAGAGATAAACACACGAGTATAGCATATAGAGACAAACACACGTGTATTGTATATAGAGATAAACACACGAGTATAGCATATAGAGACAAACATACGAGTATAGCATATAGAGATAAACGCACGTGTATTGTATATAGAGATAAACACAGAGATAAACACACGTGTATTGTATATAGAGATAAACACACGTGTATTGTATATAGAGATAAACACACGAGTATAGCATATAGAGACAAACACACGTGTATTGTATATAGAGATAAACACACGAGTATAGCATATAGAGACAAACACACGTGTATTGTATATAGAGATAAACACACGAGTATAGCATATAGAGACAAACACACGTGTATTGTATATAGAGATAAACACACGAGTATAGCATATAGAGACAAACACACGTGTATTGTATATAGAGATAAACACACGAGTATAGCATATAGAGACAAACACACGTGTATTGTATATAGAGATAAACACACGAGTATAGCATATAGAGACAAACACACGTGTATTGTATATAGAGATAAACACACGAGTATAGCATATAGAGACAAACACACGTGTATTGTATATAGAGATAAACACACGAGTATAGCATATAGAGACAAACACACGTGTATTGTATATAGAGATAAACACACGAGTATAGCATATAGAGACAAACACACGTGTATTGTATATAGAGATAAACACACGAGTATAGCATATAGAGACAAACATACGAGTATAGCATATAGAGATAAACGCACGTGTATTGTATATAGAGATAAACACAGAGATAAACACACGTGTATTGTATATAGAGATAAACGCACGTGTATTGTATATAGAGAGAAACACATACACAAGCATACCTCTTTCATCACACTGAACACGTATACATTCATTATATGAAATGAAGCATATCCTCAAATTACCTTAAACGTTCATTCATGTAGTTCGTTAAACAAAATAAAACCAAATAATTTCATATCATTACGCACTTAAGTTTTAGGATGTGAAGATAAGTATTCATATAGCCACGACAAGCATTAATGATAACCCTGTTGCAAAATCCAGGCCTATTGAAAATAGGATCTTTAAATTAAGATAATGTTCTTTTCTTCTTTCTATCTTTTCCTATATGTGTTTTATAACGTTTTCAAGATTAGTACTTTATTTCAAGGGAGATAATTTTGCTCCTTTTTCAGAAGTATATTTCAAATCGATCTGAATCTGAATGTGTACGTTGAAGACACCAATACTGGTATTTAATCAACGGAGCGTTTAGGTAATTTAGTCTTTAGAAAGTGAAGTCCGAAAAATGTTCACAGATGGAGCAGGAACAGAAGATTCTTCCAGTTGGTTCCAGTCTTGTACTGTTCTGATATAGAAGCCGTTTTTATAAGTGTCAGTTTTGCAGTTTTGAATTTGGAAGCACCGGTTGTTGTTTGTCTGCTGTTTTTCCACGATGTTTTTGGTTGAAAATCAGTGAATTTAGTTGCAGTGATTTTACGTTTGTTCCGGATAGGATGTAAATATGAAGAGGCTGGTATTGCTGGCACCAACCCCTCAATCACCTTGAATAAACATGTCTATCTGTCAAAACGTCTAAGTCTGGTGCCAGGGCCAGAAGAAACTCGGGCAAACGGGCCGGGTGTAGTCGCCTGTTAAGAATCGTACTGCCTTCCGTTGGATACGTCCTAGTCGGTCTATGTCCGATTGTAGGTAAGCCGGGTTCCATATAACCGCTCCTTATTCCAGAGTTGATCGTACAAGTGATACGTATGCTGTCCTTCTGTTTTTAGTTGGACTGTGACGCAAATTCCAGCGAATGAAGCCTAATGTGGAGCTAGTTTTCTTACAAATGTTAGTAATATAGTTACTCCACTTGAGGTCGTGTGATATTGAAAGGCCTAAATACAGGTTTGATTTTATACCTCCTTCAGGGTTAACGTTTCATCGTTTAAATTATGTAGTTTTCTGTCGAACCCTGAAAATATAACACGAAGATAACGCGATTTTGTAAATATTTTCCGCTGTAAGAAAACAGAAGATTGCTATTGTATTTATGATGAAGTAAATTCGAAGTTGATAATTATTTAGACATCTTAGGGAAAATCTAGCACGTCCAAAAAGGAGAATAAAAGCCATGCGTTAGTTCCATTGCTTCGATCAACGCTTCAATTCCACTTAAAATATAAAAAGAAAATGTTTCTTTCATATCACGGAATTATATTAGAAATCCCGTCTATTAAAGTCAGTGGTCATATAAAATAAAATAATTATTTCAAAGATACTGTAGATGAAATAAAGTGTAAATGATCTTATCATACAAATTGATTATTTTGTGTCGTAGATAATACACAAAAAGTACTAACGACGTTATCCCGTGCAGTCAAGACAGAATCTCACGTCTTGGCTCTATTGTCAAAAATTACTCGGCAGTGCGCGTGGTTAGAAGAATAACTACGGTATTTAAATGAGAACTCTTTTGTGTCAGGAAATTAGGAATGGAAGGGGGAGCACTTATTGTCCAACAATATTGATAGAGTACATACTCAAAACACAAACTTCTATCAAAATATAGTTTTAATTGCTATGAAAATATTAAGTATTATTTGAATGAGATACTAAATACTTAAACATGGACCAGCATATTATAAAATTTCAAGAATTATAATTCTTTCGAAAACAAGCAATGATTGCTCCCAAAATGGCACCGACAGGTGGATTATTGACGTGGATATTATTTGCGTTGAATATCGGCGTGTCCGTGTGTTGGGATAACGACGACCTGGAATTGTTCGATCTTGTCGAAGAAGTGAACCAGAATTTCTACGAAGTATTGGGAGTGGAGAAGGTAAATAGAGTGATTAGACAATAAAACTTATCCAGACGACATCTGTTCCGACACTTCTGATCGATGCTCGCCTGGTAGCATTTTCGTTACCGATACAATTACCTTGAGTATACACTTTTCACAATACCTTAAACAACTTCAAATCCAATTATTGTTTCAGTGTTACTAGTGTAACAGGAGAAATATTCTTGCCACAATAAACTATTCTTTCACTGTTAGCAGGTGATAGCAGTACGCATATGGAACACTCTACCAGAACCTGTGATATCCGCCCCAAACACATGCTGTTTTAAAAAATTACTAGACACGTTTTGGGAAAACCAAGCCCTGGTTTATAATTACTGATATAGCCGAAATTTTTATATAAATTTAATGGAACTTAACTCTCTATATATTATTTATGTAGCCACATTTATATTACATTGTACATTTTTTCTATGTATCGTATGATTTTGAGTCTGGTAAAGAGTCAGACTGGGTTCGAACCAAGGACTCTCTGAACTGCTTTACAAATTGAGCTACCTGGCCGTCGCCGATCGACCCAGTCCAGTTAGTGTTGTCGTTGATGTGAGCTGGTCCAGCTTCTTGTGATATTCCTCCTTCCTTTCTCTAAGTCTTTGCCCCCGACGACACTACTATTTACAACACTAGTTCGAGAATCCCTTGCTAAAGCATTCACCCAGTTGCGTGAAACAAGGATTGGCAAGCTTGCCATTAATGTTGTGACAGGAGAAAGAGAAATGCTATTGAGCTACCTCAGGTCACCGACGATCGACCCAGTCCAGTTTCACTAGATTACAATAAGTAGTTGTAGGCTATCGTAGAATGCAGTAGACATGTACAATAGCAAGTTTTCTGTTATGATGAAAAATATAGCATATTGTCCGGCGGTTTACGATGAAGTAACACACTTGTTTTAGTTTTTAACCACTCATTTTCATTTGCTTAATTTAATGAAAATATTGATTAAAAATCACCTAAAAGTTCAACAAGCTAGCTAGGTTTTCAACACGGGCCAAGTAGATCGGGGAGTGGGTATTTTACCCATTTTTTTATCATTATGCAAGTGTAAAAGATGTGTATTAATTAGCTTGCCTTACAGGCATCAGCGTTAGAGCATCAGGCTGGAGAGCCAAGGGTTGTGGGTGCGAGCCCCAGCTATACTGTACTATCACTCAAGTTAAGATTCCTGTGTTTTTTAAAGTTTGTAACGTTAACAGGAAGGCAATACAACAGGGCTGGACCGAGATTCAAACCTGAGGATCTCGAAACACGTAGATACTAGATGGCTGTAACCATTTGAACTACATGTACCGTGGTACTCTGACCCTAGCTGTTGCATGTCCCAATCCCTCTCCACACCTCCCTCTCTTGATTATCACTTTGCCCCTGAAGACAATACCATTTAATACAACCCTGGTTTTAGTATCCCATAACACATTATGTATACGTAGCATACTTTAAACATGGGTTGGTCAAATTTTAAGGCACTGTGCGTAACATAAAAGGGAAAATGCCGTATATCAGCCAGACAGGAAATCTGTTTTAATTCATTTTAGAAAAGAAAACCATACTTTGCGGGACTTTTATGGGGAAAATAAAGATGATTGAAATAAACAAAAGATACTCATCTTCAGTGTTATACATGTATGAGTGTAAAAATTAATACAATCATTGGGACTAGACGGTAAATATCATTGCTCTATAATAATAGCCACAGTGCAGTAGGTGGGACAGGGATCCTTAGTAAACTTAATTATATATAATTGTTGAGTCACTCTTGTTTGGACTTATTTTACTGTATCTGTATCTTAATGTACTATAAACGTTTTGTTACTGTATAATGCGATTGAGATCTATGTCTTTTACTTCACAATGAGTATAATCTTATTTCATTATATAATATATAGTACTCGTTCTACCTTCATGTTGAAGTTGCATGATTGAGTTTGAAGTTTTGTTATTTCCTAGAAATTTGGTTAGATTAAGGCTTAATTGTATTATTTCATAAACAACTGAATTATGCTTCATAAGAGTCCGCTAAGTTACCTTAGGAAAACCTTTAAGTTTCTCCCAACTTATGACTATTTCATGAATTTGTAATTATTATGTATGGAATTGAATCTATTGCATACATGTATGTTCTCCGCCATCGTACAAGATATTTGTAAAGTATTTATCTATATGTATATTTCTGTACGCCTATATGCAATGTGCATTTGGTAATAAATTGAATTGAATTGAATCTTATAATTACAGGACTGTTCAAGTAATGATGTCCGCAGAGCCTATCGCAGATTGTCCTTGCAACTACATCCGGACAAAAACAAGGAAGAAAATGCTGAAACCAAGTTCAGACAGGTTTAGAAAATACTTATATGGATATATATGTGCTCCCAATAATAAACTTATCATACAGGTCAATATTGCTAAATACTTGTACAGAGAATCGAAGAACCAATATATAAAGATTATACATGACTAGAGCAGAGCTTACAGTCAGATTTTTCTACGTGTATGTAATTAATATAAGTCAACCAAACTTGAAGCAAAAAATACACTACATCATTGATATTTTCAGGTTTATGTAAAACATGAATTTATGCAATTTTGATATTGTTTGATAGTGTTAGAATTTGAATATATGTTAGATTTAAAAATAAATTATGCCTTTTTATAATTTGAGAAAATATTGCACTCAGGAAAACACAGTAAATTTTGAAATGATTTTTGATAGCACACTGGTGAAATTCTCAGCTAATTTTTTTTATTTTTTTTTCTCTTCATTTTTCTTAAAAACCAAGACTACATTGATAATTTAATGTGTAGCCTGTATATACAGTATTCCAAAATAATAAGAAAATAGACATACCTTCTACAATGCACATAACTGAATTGATTTATTAATTTGTATAATGTTATAAATTCTATGGCTTCTTTTCATTGAACATGACATTGTATTTATATCTTACCTGTTTGGTACGTAGATGGTAGCAGTTTATGAAACACTGAAAGATGAAGACAAAAGAAAAAGGTAAGTACGTAGGTATAGATGTCGGCAAAACAAGTGTTTCTTCTTTACATTATGCGTTTGATTCAACAAAATCATGCTAACTTAGTGTTCAAAATCAACACCTCCAATCTTGCTAAAGTCTTACATGTAACGAGTACATGTTTAGCCAAAGAAATCCGAAAGTTTGAATTCTTCTTTTTGTACAATACTGCATATGAAGGTACACTCAAGTTGTACTTGTAAGTGTAGTAATTGTGCTACGTTAGGATATATATGTGTAATTCCATATTTTAAGGTACATGTGTACATATATATATAGTCACTGGTTTTCTGTAGCTATTTAGGAAAAATGTACCACATGTTCAGGGGTACAAAGACAGCACTGTATTTTGTTTTCCAAAATTTTAAGTTGCAAGGGTAATTTATGTTTAATAACTGTAGGATATTTCAATCTTAATTTTAACCTTTGAAAATATTTATTGGTACATGTGTAATCTAATGTTCTTTTGAAGGAGAAGAGTAATATGAGCAGGTGAATTTCACATTTAGGGTATACTAGCCTGCAGTCAGATTTTGTATTTTGAGATGTTGGTTGGCTATTCAGGGTTTAATTTCCTATCAACAGCTAAAGTCATTTCAAGTCATCAGAAATTGAGACATAATATTTATAATAGCCCAACCTTTAATTTCATAGAAAATAATGAACATTTTCACTAGCCCTGGTGGTATGGTACACCCCGGTCAGTATTTGTTCGTTACAAGTAAACTGTATACAATGTATTGGAGAAGTTTTTGCTACATTTCTATAGGTACGAACTTGTGCTGGAGAATGGCCTTCCTGACTGGAGACAGCCAGTCTACTACTACAGACGGGTGCGGAAGCTGGGAATGCTGGAGTTACTGGCCTTTATGTGCATCATATTAACCTTCGGCCAATACCTTGTCCTCTGGTCCATATTCTTAGAGAAGAAGTTCTCCATGGTAAGACATACCAAAAGAAGGTCACTTTTATTACAAGAAGTAAAAATCGACATTGTATCTGACTGTATCAGATTTTCCTAGTATACAAGCAACATATACATACATATAAATGTGTCCAAACATTTTGAGACCAATTTTGTATACATCCGTCAAAAGATGTTATCACATGGGCGGGTAGTTGCATTGGCTTGGCACCGGGCGCTTGGTTTCCACTTGATATCTTCATTAATTTTCAACAGATTAAATTCAAACTTTACAAGAAGGTTCATTACCATAACAGCTTGATCCTTTATCCACTTTACGAAATGGTGTGTGCTTGATATCTTCACTAATTTTCAACTAATTTTCAACAGATTTATTTCAAACTTCATAGGAAGGTTTATTACCATAACAGCTTGGACAAGTTTGATAACTACCAATTTCCGACGTTAACATGCATTATATGATATTGTATTACACTTATTGATCTATCATATTTTGTCAATCTAAGACAAGGAATATTCAGATTGCAACTCTATGCAATAATATGTAATCCCTCAACTTGAAGACCTAATTAATTTAGATTGATTTTCATAAATATTTAACAATTTTAATGAAATAAAGCATTATAATTATCTTGCTAATATCTGTTATAAAACCTCTAGCAAAAGAAACTTTCAATATGTTTCCAAGTGTAAACTAGTTTGAACTGTTAAAACGATTCCACACTTTAAGAAGACTGGCCAGGACACAATGTACATGACCTATAGCCATAGACCAGTATATTAACACAATCACCCCTGAAAGTTCATAATGAACTATTCCAACCTATGAATTGGAAGAGTTCAAGTGTGTCTACAGGGGTGAATGAGTTAAATATTTGAAAACTGCATTGTTTTGTCTGAAGTGTTAATGTGTTAAGAAGAATAACATGGCACAAAATGAGCATATAAGGATTAAAGCTGTGAGCTGCGAGGCCATTTACTTCCTTGTTGGATATTATTTTGGCCACTAAGTTTCAAATTTTGGCAATTTAGTCACCCAACTGTAGACCTTTTGGTTTGTATGATCTTGTTGTTTTAGTGCATGTGTTGTCCAGTACTGCTCTGAAGTTGTATTGAAGGCAAATTATTGTCAGGTTCTAAATTGAAATAAAGTGCCAAAACATTAAAATCGATTTTTGAGGAAAGCACAAAAACTAAGACTCTTAAATGTTGTTCTCAACATCTTAGGAGGAGGACCATGAGTCTCGGAGAAAAAAATTTGAAAAGAAACTGCGGAAAAACAAACTGGAGTTGGAGGACCAGTATGATGAACTACAGGAGGAGATGGACTCCCTGCCCCGGCCAAAAGTGTCTGACCTTTGGCCTATTAGACTGACCATGTGGACGGTCAACTTTACAATCAACCTTCCCACTACAGTCAGAGAGACAGCAGCAGCTCTTAGTGAGTGGAAGCAGCAACGGAACACAGTTGTCAAAGATGAGGAGGATGAAGATGAGGAAGAGGAAGAAGGTATGGCAGAATTCAGAAATAAATATCTTAGTATTGTTAGGGCTGTTCCAGAAAAAAAGACATCCCCCCCTGGGCCGGCACTTTTTTCCAGACCCCTACCACCCATAACTTCAATAATCAGCTGACCCCTACCACCCGTAATTACGAATTTTGTTCCATACCAACGACCCACAATTGTTTTTTAGTTTAAAAAAAAGGGGAAAAAAAAGTAGTACCCACATACCATGTTATTTAAATAGTTAATTTATACCCATATACTATTAAATTAGATAATTACCGTTGTTTTACTATCATTTGATATAAATAAACTAAAATTTAGTTTAATATATATATATATGTGTTGTATTCTTTTTGTGCTTTTGCGAGGCGGAAAATTGGCCTAAACCATGCCTCGCCATCCATCTTCCCACATCTTCCAGGCTCCAACCACGCGAATGGGCAGCCATTTTTGTGAAGAGTGATAACAGCGCCCTCTATCAAGATTGATTTTTTTTATCATAGGAGTTGCGTCCCTTGACCCACATACCGGAAGCGACTTGCAAGCGATACAGTAATGTCACGCTGCCAAAGTTTCAGCACGTATTTCAATAACGCAAATCTACATCCGAGCTTCAACCAGATATTTTCATATCACACCACCATGTAAATTAATTAATCAGGTTTTATTTATTTTTTAAATATTTTTTTTTATTTCTCCAACATACAACGACCCACAGAAACGAAAATACAACAACAACAACAACCAATAACTACGATTTTATTCAATGTTCAACCACCCACGTTAACAAAAAAAGTTTGCCGTCCCAGGGGGGGATGTCTTTTTTTCTGGAACAGCCCTTACCGTATTTGACCTTTTAAAACAACTGCACTTGTAATTAGCCCCAATAACAACAATATCCAAATTATATTCCAACAATTTTGTGATAATTAACCAATCTATAGTACCTTTAAATCAGTGGTAAATGCAGTCTACATATTGATGATGCTTCCTGTGTATGTGGTGTACAGAGGGAAGATCTAATACATTTTTTCTTTCAATGTCCTCTGTATTCTAATATTAGGCATCATATTACCACTATTTATAATCTAGTAGGATATTTAAATCTGCACTGTTTAGTATATGGTATTAGTAATGCATCCAACCAATTAAATAAAACTATTCTTATACATGTTGACTCTTATATTAAATCATCAAAACGTTTCGTTACTTATACGTGCTAGATAAATTTCCAAATGAATATTCATGTATTGTTATAATTATTGTTATTCAGGCAAGTTTTATCCCTTAAATAACGAGTATTAGACATAAGCTGGTGTGGGTGTGGGTGTGCATGAGTGTGAGAGGAAACGAATCACAACATTTTATATATTTAAGCATTGTACATATCTACCGGAATTAGAAGAAGACTGATATAGGCAAAGCCTGTTGTCTTATTCTTTTGTCAATACTGTTCAAATATCTCCTTTAATGTTAACTTATATGTTTGTATTATATATGTATTGTCAATAAAATACTTTTGAAATTGAAAATCCAAATTATTTTCCAACAAATTTGTGATAATTAACCAATCTACCCTACCTTAAAATCAGGGGCAAATGCAGTCTACTTTTTTTTACAAATTTGACTAAACAATTAGTTTGAGTTGTCAGGCACGTAGCTACCTAAACAATTCGTTTGAGTTGTCTGGCACGTAACTACCTAAACAATTAGTTTGAGTTGTCAGGCACGTAGCTACCTAAACGCTTGTACACAGGGGAATCCACAGAACAAAAAAGAAAAAAAAAGCAACAACAAAAAACAAAAACACTGCTTGTGGCATACTGAGTGTGTCATAGGAAATTATGTATGCTGATATAAGATACAATTAAACACATGGTATTATTGTAGAATGTCTTAATTTTGCAATTTACCATCTGAAAATGATCCTGAGGCGGATAGATACATTATGAATTTATTTGTATATTCAATTTTCCGTCAAAGTGGGGGGTGGATGGATGGCTTTTGGCCACCTTGGTCCCTCTACCAGGACCTTCTCTTGACCTGCTCCTTAATGAATCCACTCCTAGCAAGGGCTATAGCTGTGTAAGCCCCTGGATGTCACTTTCGATTCTTACTGGGGCATATCTTTTTAGCAAGGTTCATTGATTTATCATTGGTAATACATTATAGCTTACAATTTAATTGACAGATGCTGCTAGAAAAGCCAAAAAGAAGGCACGGCCAGAATTTGTGGACATTGTGCCAGTTTTGTGTACTGATGCTGCCCCCGTAGTTTACACCGAGATGTTACAGTCTAGTGGTGCTGATGAGGCCAATACAGACTCTGTCCGGGTGTGTGATCAGGTTACATTTAAAATATTTATATATGGAAATTTTATTTGCATGTATTTTATTAAGCTGTCTTCAATATTTTTGTGTTTTGATTTATTATCAAATCTTCTCACAAATTTATACAAAAAATATCGGTTTTCTTTTCTTAAGTTATACATCAATCAGTTGGAAAGTTGGGAAACTTAATTGTACTCATTGATGGGTTGAATTGGTAATGTTTTATTTTCACGCTCTGTAAAGAGCAGAAACATGTACATATTAAAATGTGCACATCCTGCAATATGCAGCATCATAATTTTTAGCTTGAATATTTTATTGTAATAATAATAAATAATATACAGCATTTATATAGTGCCCTATATACTTTGTAAAATTACTCTAAGGCGCTTTACAACATATGGATAATAGTGATGGTTATAATTGTGAAAACAAACAACAAAGGCTTGCAATCAAGTTCATACAAAATTGACAAGCAATGTGCACATAATTGAACAAATAAAAGGGTGGTATTTACATGACGTCTTTGCAAAAGATTCTAAAATGCAGACGTGAAGAGGTGAGTTTTTATGTCCCTCTTGAACTTATTCAGCCTCTAAAAATAAAAGAAAATGTGTATTCTTATGTCAGTCTAGATTTTCCATCTGTACGCTAGAGACTATTTATATTTATAGCTGTTTTACTTGTAAATAGAAAGTTTTAGAGGAAATTCTGAATTAGCAGTGTAATTCCAACTGAGGCTGCTACATAAAGCATGAAAATGAAATAACTGCATAGGTGTCAACTCTTCCTCATTAGGAGGGAGACTACCAAATTTTGACCAAAATTTACCAATCTCCCTCGAAACTTCGTCATTCGATCAAGTCCTAACTCACACAAACTCAAAATCTACATCATGCAGTCAAATGATGACCTCCTAGTTACTGCAGTTTGTGTGCAATGATCAGAATAGGTGTGTCGAAATCAAATGAATGCTTTTTGGAGTCATTTTAGTTATTTTGATGCATAAAAAGGGAAAGATAACTGGTAAATGGTAGATGGTTCACAGTCAGTAAGCAGTTGTTGTTGGCACAGCTTCTGTTTTTATCCCTGTTCTCGACGACGTTGCCCTGAATAGACATTTAAAATGGTTTGACTGTACAACATAAGTCATACGTTTCTGCTTATCCCAGGGTGGTGAGTGGACGGATGAAGACCTGGCCCAACTGTCCAAGGCAATGTCCAAGTACCCTGGTGGGTCGGTCAACAGGTGGGAAAAGGTCGCAGGTGTTGTCAACAGAACTGTACCCGAGGTATGATTTATATGTTGTCTATAATGTAAAAAAAAAAAAAAAAATCTAGCAGAGCTGTTTAACTCACTCACCCCTGAAGACACATTTGAACTATTCCAATTCGAATGTTGGAATAGTTCATTATGAAATTTCAGGGGTGAATGAGTTAAAAGTCATTTTGGAATTCCTCTCCTGTCTTATGACTCATAATGTTCAGACTGATTGATGGGGTTATTTTTTCGAATGGTAAGTAATACAGCTTCTACAAAATACAAATCTGGTTGAAGACACATACAGAAGGTGGTAGCATTCCTGTACTGAATTGAAGTTACTATAGTATGTGTACCAGGTGCATAAATCATAAGATGAGGACAGACTAATGCCACATCTGTTTACACGTCTCTATTTACTTTATAACAGTACGTCTTACTTTATCATATGCATCACGTTTCTCATAATGATTCAAAAGAAGAGACCTGGATTAAATTTGCTGAGACTTCCCGTTCAATGTTGTCCGGTCTTCATCCTTTTTAATTTCTTTTACTCTTTGTGTCTGGACTTGTGAGTTCTATTTGGGAATCTATCAACTGGGGCACACAGAACTTCACTGAACATTCACTAGGGGGTCTTGGATCCCATTCTCCCTTGTATTTTTCATAATGATTTTGACACTGTAAATGCTAGCAGTTTAAGAGAAGCACAGCTAGTTCAGTTGTTTAAGTAATTATCAAGATTTTTTCTGGTTATGACTTATTTATCAAAACCATTTGAACTTTAGATAAAACTGCAAATATACAGCATTACTAGAAGAAAATCTTTGTCATTTCTTAAGGCCTTTTCAATAATTTGAAAGATAAACACAGGTTTTATTTAAATGCAAAGTTATTTATCAAAAATGAGCATTTAAATTAAATTTTTAAAAAGGTCTACTGTCTTTACCACTACTGGAGCATAGCCCATGAAAAACCCATGAAAAGCCAATGAAAACAAACCCATGATAAACCCATGAAACAACCCATGAAAATGTCAAAATGATCATGGCCATGAATCTCTGTATTACCATGAAAATGCCATTAAATCCAGCCCATGAAAACCCCATTTTCATGGCCATGATGTTGTGCCCTATTTTCATGGCCATGATGTTTTTATATTTTATATTTTTATGGTCATAACATTAAGAAGTCATGGCCATGAAAGATTACAAAACGAAATATTATATTTTCATGGTCATGAAATTTAACTTTTGCAACAATATCACATTTCATGGCCATGAACTTAATATGGTTCATGGCCATTAAAACAACTTCTACATAAAATAATGGCCATGAAATTATTTCGTTGGTAAATCCAACAAAAATCATGGCCATGAAATACAATTTCACAGCTATTTCATGGGTGCAACAGAACACATCACTGTTTTTTCATGGTACCATGAAAAACACTACAACAAGATTTTATGGTACATTTTATGGGTTCATGGGTTTTTCATGGGAATTTCATGTTTTTTTCATGGATTGTACTTCCAGTAGTGTACCCTCATACAAAGACCCAAGGTTACACTTGTTGTCAAATTATTGTGATGATTTAAATAATTCTTAAAGAAATAAAGTAAGGTTTTTGTTTCTATGAGATGTAATGGCATAATTAATAAAAATAAAAATCATGTTAATAAAGATTTTCTCTTGGTGTGTAAGTGATAAGGATGTGAAGAGTAGGCAAGTTATCTCCCCTGGTGCATACATTTCATACAAATAATTGCTTATTCAAGTTATAACGTATAAATTGAGATAAAAATTGAAGTAAAATAGAAAAAAAATATTCTTTCAATAACTTTGAAACCTAAGTGTTAATCTACACTAATCTTTGAATGCCTACCATCAAATACTGTTCCTATATATATATATATCAGGTAGAGCACACATACCTTTGCATCTACATGTAGTTATGTATTTTTAAAAATGAATAGCCTTTGGTTTAGAGTTCTGATGTGTGATGTCGATATGACCAATGTTACTGTTTGTTTCAGGTGATAGCCAAATCAAAGACACTAAAGACAACTTATGTAAACAAACTGGACGCCTCTTTACAGAGTAAGTGTTTACTTATACAATATTGTGTTAACCCCCATTCAAATTGATTGTGTACGTGCACGTGGTTCAAGAAATTTGACAGATTTTATATTAAGAAAAGACAATGGATTAACGTATTTAGATTTTTGATTTTTTTCTCCCTCAAACATGAATGAGTTTATCAATATGCACTGGCATGTTTATGAAACAAGCTATGTAAAGATTTATTAATCACTCGATCCTGTTAGCCTGGTTGGTGGCCCTCAGGGGGTCTTGTCAGAGGAAACCAGAGTACCCGGAGAAAACCCATGTGGTAAGGCAGGTGACCCCATACCTGTTCACGTCAGATCAGGAACTCAAAACCAAGCCGCATTTATATATAGAAACAAATTAACTGTATTAATTGTACATGTACTGATGTTTTTTAAGCACATCAAGGTTAAAGTTTTATCTGCAAGTTATTTAGACGCTTGTCGGTCATTAAATTGTGTACTAGGATGCTGATATTTGGCATGGAGGGCCCTGTGGGGTATAATATTGATGTAGTGAAGTGAAAATTAAAAAATAAATTCAAGTTTTTACACTTTTGACCTGTTTTGAACTTTACATTTTTACAAACAAATTTTTAAATACGATTAAGTTTTAAACAGGTGAGCATGTGTTGGCTTTGACACCATCTCTGGTTAAAGGACAGGTATCAACCTAACTATTGGTCATGTTTTTTTTTACCTAAGGCCAATCAAATAATGAGCTGTGTGCCTGCAATTTTGCTATGACACATTCAGGGGGTGCAGAGACCTTAAGTGAATGTAACCCCTGGAGTATCAAGGATACAAAGACTCTTTTTTGTGACAACCTGTCTGTATCTATCTTTATAAAGACAATTTGCCTGTTTCTACTTATGTTCACTGTGAAATCAGATATTTTCGTGGGGCCCAAATTTCATGATTTCCTGACAAAAACACAACACATGAATTCAAGGGTTACGTATACGAGTACCCACACAAATGGAGACTTGCTTTATATCAAAATTGTAATCGTTTCGTGGACCTATGAATTCGTGGATGAAGACTTACCTTAGAAATGAACAAAAAAATATTTAAAAAAAAGGAAAATTTGTGATTTCACAGTATTAATTAGGGTCTTTGATATCCATAAAGGTCCACTTAATATGTTAATATTTTTTCCCTGTATCTTCCCTGGGTGATTGTTATTAATAGATGTAACTCTTATTCATTTGTTTCAAATTTTTGAATGTTTTTTCTATGAAGGTGGTGGTTTAAAAGGAGGTAAGAAGACACAGTTAATAACAGAAGCGATGATATCACACAAATCTGATTACGAAGGAACAACCACAGAAAATACAAATGGAGATATTAAGAGTGGGGATGTACGCAGGCGTCACAAACCCAAACCAAAGAAAATAGCAGAAAGGACGTTACTGGCTGCTGTGGAATCTCAGTCGGAGAACAAACCAGGGGAGGTAACAAAGCCAAAAATAGTTCAGCCAAATAAACAGACCGATTCTGACACAATTAGTGAAAATTCTGTTACTTCAAAGAGTACTGGTGATGGAGACAATTGGAATAAAAATCAACAGACTATTTTAGAATGGAATTTACGACAGTACCCAAAAGGTACGGATCAAAGATGGGAAAAAATTGCTGAGAAGATTATCGGCAAAACAAAGGTTAGTTGTTCTGTTATATATCTTATTGATGAAAGACTAAAACTGGAAATTGATCAAATGGAATTTGCAAAACTTTATTTCTTTAATGTAAGTGTACATGTTTGTTGATAACTACTGATAACCTTTATCTACATAGAAATTTGTCAGTGAACGTAAAAGCAAAATTTGTGTTTCGTTTTTGTATACTCAAGTTGCCAAAAAAATCACTTTCTGGGACCAGATACATTCAATTGTTTTAGATACACAAAAATAAAGTTAACCTAAAAATACTGATAAAGGGAAAATGTTGGGAAAATAAACAAAAAATAATTATGCGTTATAAAGTGTCCGTTTGAACCTTTTTAATCCTGACACTTATAATTCCAGAAAATGTTTCCTGAACATTTTAAAACTGTACTTTTCTTAATTTTTAAATCAGGGCACAGTTGTTTGGATTTTTTTTTCTAGATAACACATCTTCCAGATGATATTGATACAGAAAGTATCATTTAAGATGTATCAGTTCCTTGATTTACAAAATATAAGCTTTCTACAGTAAATTACAGTAAAACCTGACTAATCTGACACCTTGTGGGATAGAACCCATAGGTCAGATTAAACAGGATGTTGGAATGCCCAAATGTCAGATTAGAATGTTGAAATAAACAGGTTTAATTTCAAATTGGTAGTTCTCATAATAAATGTTATTGCAGCATTATGTTGGATTATAAAGCATGTCAGAATACTCAGGTGTCAGATCAGACAGGTTTTGATGTATTCCAGATTTACAGTATTAGAACGTTTTTTATAACATTCACTAATGATGTGATTTCCACTTGTATTTTTTCCAGGAGGATTGTATGATAAGGTATAAATACTTAGCTGATCTAGTCAAGAAGAAGAAGGAATTATCACAGAAACAGTCGGACAACAGCTGATGTCAACTCACAAATTAATTACTGCAATTTCAATCAGAAAAGAAGGCAATAGTAGGTTATTCCTTATTATAGTGAGGCTGGACTAGGCCTAAATGAAAGTTTGGTATGTTTGGTGTGACACGACCGACCTAGGAAAGAAACCCAACTGCAAGAATTATATGGATATTTGGACATTTGTCAGTGTACATTAAAGTACAATTTTTTTGTGTTCCGTTTTGTATACTCATCAGGTTGCCAAAAAATAACATTCTGGGACCAGGTCTATACATTCAATATTTTTGATAACATTCACTAATAAAAAAATAAATCTTGTAAATCATGGAAAAAATATGCTGTCTCTATTTTGAAATGAAGATCTAATAAGTGTTTTAATGACATGTATAAATATAGAATACTTAACCCTTTCACCACTGCAAACCATAATGGACTCATCCAGATAAATGTATCAGCTAGAGTCTACTCAAGATACCTAGGGGTGAAAGGGTTAAAGTACTTATGTGACTGGGTCGACAAGGTGGTGAAACAAAATGGACGCATTGCTTCTGTTGAACAGAACGTTCTACTGATTAGTGTTGATTGATTAAAGTTAAAAAAAAAAAATTCAGATAAAACAAATATTTTTGCCTTTAGCTACCTACCTACTAAATCCTAAAACACTTGGTTGGGTTCCGCCAAACAGAAATGTTTTTAATGGTGGCGCTTTACCGACATAAAGCTAGGGGTCTTGGATCATTTTGTGTTACAGTGTATGTATAGCTGTGTAGATGGACAATCTTGTGGGACCAGTAAATCATGTCTGATTTTATTGCTTTATAAAATATAGGTTGTTCATACGGCTTGTGTACATTATTTAGGTGCTATTTATTTAGTATACTTACTGAGTTGTGTTGAGAACTGTTTGGTTTTCTTCGGCACCACAGTACTATAATTTGTTCAGACAGGTACTACTGTACATGTTGTATAGTCCAAGATGGGGAACATACAGTTGTGTTATCGCACAACATTGCACCATGTTTGGTGTGTACAGGATATGTGCCCGGTGTGTGCAGGACGTGTGCAGGATGAGAAACTGTGTAATAAGTAGCGAGCACACAACAGCGTGTTAGCTATCGCACAGTTGTTCGGTAGGTATCGTGGTTGATATATATATCAAGCAATGGCCCCGATCTTACCATATTGCAAAAATGTGAGCATTTTATTGCACACAGGGTGATAGATTGTTAAATCGCACATAGTTGTGCAGAAGATGTGTACATGGTTAAGTTATAATTTTGGTGCCTTGTGTGATCACACAACTGTACTATGCTAGGATGTCATAACTGAACAACATCATTGACAACTAAATTGAGGTTGTTTTCATGTATCTGGTTCAACCACTTCAGCTGATTAAACCTGAAAGGAAACGACAGGCACAGATTGGGTACAAGGCTGATTTGAGAAAAAATTGGCACATGCTTATCAATTCAAGGGGTCCAAACGTTTGCAGTATATTTTGTAGTATCTCTACATAAAACAAGTTTGATTCAAACATGTACATGTATTTTCAGATATGTCTTTCATGTGCTTGTCACTTGTCAAAAAGTGTAAAAAATAAATAATCATAAAGTAATTAATCATTGAACAAGAGGAAGACTTCTACGCATTGCAAATCATTTTAAAGCTTTGTTCAATACAAAGCTATGGGAAGCCTTCAATTAAGGGAGAGCAAATTAAAACAACTTATATCAAAGACTTCTGTAATGGGAGGCTATTTATAAGTGAAACTCCAATGGGTGGGCCAATTCAAATTGTTAAAGTGATGTTTCCAATTTGAACATCAAGTTCAACAAGGGACAAACAAACTGTTGCAGCTGGGCAAGTGTTTCTATTCTCAGCATTTACAGCTCATTGTTAACAGCCATTTTACAAAGAAGCTGGATTTACAGAAGGTGTGCTGGTATGTTATTGTTTGCCTTGTAATCTGGCGTTCTTTTATACAAAATAAAAAGTGATATAACCGATACACGAATTAGCATTTGTGGGTACTTTAATTTCTTTTACAGCTTTAATGTTTAAAAGCTATTTATAAGACTTGCAGGATCAGTAAGACCATTTTAATTGGAGTCAGTTAACCCTTTCACCCCTATGTAACTTGAGTAGACTCTACAATGCATTGATATGGATGAGTCCATTATGGTCTACAGTGGTGAAAGGGTTAAGTAAAGGGTACCACACGTACACTGCACAAATTAAACGTGATGAAGTGTTAACTAGTTTTTTAATTTGAGTGTTTTCTCCTATGTATACAGTAAGCAAAGTAACATAAAGTTAATCATGTTTCTTTTTGATGCTGTGCACTTCAATAAAACAGCATTTTATTATATCCAACGTATAGTTATGATAAACATACTATTTCATAGGGATGGCAAAACCAGCTTAGAGATTTTACCAATTCCTCTCTCAAAACAAAAGAATGCTATTGATAAAGTTTAGGATGATTATATGATTGGTCTTTGGTTGTCTAACCCGAGGCTCTGCCGAGGGTTAGACAACCAAAAAACATCACTTCTCGGGTTGGAGATTTCTCTATCACACCCTCAAGGTAGGGGAAGATTCTATTATTGAATAACACTATCATTACCTACATTTGTATAGCAATATATAGGTTATTGAAGGTTGTCTACATATACTGAGACTTTGTGAATCTCAAATTTGCTTTACTTGAATACTGTGTTATCAGATATTTTTGATGGGGCCCAAATTTTGTGGTTTCCCGACAAAACACAATTTCAAATTCGTTGATGCATGAATTCGTGGATTACGAGTATCCACTCAAACGGAGAATAGCTTTATATCAATCTTGTAATTATTTTGTGGACCTATGAATTTGTGGATGAAGACTACCCACAAAAACAAAAAATAAATAAAACCCCCACAAAAATGAGTGATTTCATAGTATGTTGTTATGTGATTTTCTGATTTGATACGAGTCTATAGCTTTAATCAAAATCTAACATTATACAGGGTTAACATTGGCAAGAGCTTATATAAAGGGGTTCATACATTTATAACTGGTTATTCCACTTGTCTGATGGAATGGTTCTCAACAAATTTAACAGAAATTAACAAGCCTTGGTTCATTTGGGTATACTGGGAAATGATTTAAGCTGCAGTTGAACTTTTATCTTTTTCACCCTTCGTTATGGAGGTGAATGTATGACAATTACACATCAAGTGTGGAATTAACTTGTGTTAATATGTGGATGTAAATTTTCCAAGGAAAGGACAATTATTTTCCTGGTATACAGTTCTCCTGTCGAGACTCATCCCAGGAAAACTCATGATAAATTCAATAAAAAAAATACTGAATTGGAAAATACTCTATCTGGAACTTGTATGATGTTGACAAATAGAAGCATGAGAAAAATCACACTTACCAGTTTTTTGGCCAAAACTTATTCTATTTTGTTTTGTCTGAATGGCAACTTTGAATATTTGATTGTGTTTCATGGTGGTATGAAATATTCCAGAAAATATTTTTTTAAGTGCAATGGTCAAATTTATTTATTTTCCAAGAAAAAGTAAAAGATAATCTTAAAACAAAATTGCAAAAAAAGTAGTTTTAAACAATTTCAAATATTACTCTTCAACAAAAAACAGTGCAAGAATGTTGTTCAAAAATATTTAGGAAGAAAGAAAAATTGAACAAATACTTTTGTGACTGCCAGATTTTAACTTTTAACCTATGTTATTGACCTTAGTAAATTATTTGTACATCTGAATTAATTGTTATAGTTAAAACTTGTTTGTATAATTTACATAATTTCCAACTTACATAATATTTCACAATATGCCAATCATGAAGAGCCTGATGCCATTGATAATCATTAAAGTGATTCAAATTCTCTGATGTTATTGTTTTGAAATATGATTACCTGTTTATAAAGACCCTTTGTTTTGAAGACATTTTACCTCCTACCATAAGATAGGGAAATAAAGGAATGGGAAATAGTGGAAACTATTTTCGTTTCTTATGGTCATTTTCTTATTAGCTTACCGGGTCCGAACTTATGCCATACCGTGGCGTCCGTCGTCCGTCTGTCGTCCGTCCGTCAACAATTTCTTTAAACGACTTCTTCTTCTTAACCACTGATTGGAATTTAAATAAATTTGAATGGAAGCATCCCTAGGTGGTGGGGATTCAAAATTGTACAAATGGTGGGGCTGACCTCCCAGGGGGCTGAGGGGTGGGGCAAAAAGGGGTTATTTGGTTATATTGCTTTAAGCAACCTCTTCTCTGGAACTAAGTGATGGATATCAACCATATTTTACTGGAAGCATCCCTAGGTGGTGGGGATTCAAAATTGTACAAATGGTGGGGCTGAGGGTGGGGCCAAAAGGGGGCAATTTGGCTATATTGCTATAAACGACTTCTTCTGTAGAACTATGCCATGTATATCGATCATATTTGGTTGGAAGCATTCATGGGAGGCAGGGATTCAAAATTGTACAAATGGTGGGGCTGACCCCCTGGGCTAAGGGGTGGGGCCAAAAAAGGTTTATTGCTTGGAAATGGTTGAGATCCCCACCATATAACCACATATACAATTGCTGAGTATAAAGAGGAGAATGCACATTTGCTTCCAGGATGGCCCTAGGGTCTGGCCCCACCCTTGGAAATATAGTTCTTGGGCCATAACTTTAAAACTGTTGAGATCCCCACCCCAAAACTATATATACAAAAGCTGGGCATAAAGAGACGAATGCAGTCACGATGTTAGAATAGACCCTGGGGTCTGACCAAACCCCTAGGGACCTAGTTTCTTAGTCGCAGTTTGGAAACAGTTGTTATCCCCTCCCTATAACCATATAGACAATTGCTGAGTATAAAGAGATGAACGCACATATGCTTCCAGGATGGCCATGGGGACTTCCCCACCCTTGGAGACCTAACCCCTGGGTCATAACTTCGAAATGGTTAAGATCCCCACCCCAAAACTATATATACAAATGCTGGGCAAAAAGAGACAAATGCAGTCATGATATTAGAATTGATCCTGGTGTCTGGCCACAACCGTAGGGACCTAGTTTCTGAGTCACAGCTTGGAAACAGTTGAGATCCCCACCCTATAACCATACATAACATTTCTGAGCATGAAAAATCGAATACAGATATATATGCTACAAGGATTGGCCTTGGGGTCTGGTATATTTCCCTTGGATCTCATTTGCCATGATTGCTTAGATATCCAGGTCAGCGATACAAGCACTATGGGCCTCTTGTTTATGGTATCCAGAAGTGAACATCTGATGATGTCATCAAAATACTCTTATTTAGTGAAATCATCAAATCGGTTTATAATATTGTAAAAAAAAGAATCTGTGAATTAATACCAAAACAGCATTTCAAATAGGAGATAATAAAAAAAAACATTTACCAAAAAAACAATGATTTCGTAAAATTAAATGTTACACCATGCAATATAGACTAGACAGTTATTACATCATCAGGTGTTTTTTTTATTTACTGGAGAGTATTGTTTAGAAAGACTTGGATAAAATCTTGATCTGGTTTCTGAATTTAGGTCAAAGAGGTATATCTACAGTACTGAACCTTGAATTCTAAATAACCTGAAAATAAGTGATTTAAATTAGAAATAAATTCATTATTCTTTTGAAACATGGGAAATTTCTGATTTTTTTTAAGAATGTGTAAGTCACTTTAAGCTGCAGTTCAATCCTTCAAAAGTCCGTAGATGCAGAATTTAAATTTTCAAGTTAATAAAAAAAAAAACTGAAATAATGTAACCTTGTCGCAGCCGGTATCGAGAGTTGTTTCCCTTTGACTGTATTCTTTCCAGTTTGGTGACGGTTGTGAAGCGGCTATTAGGTGTAATTAGGATTTTTTTTCCTATTGTTTAAAGAAAAGTGTGCTCCGTATGATAATCAACCACTTATTGTTAGGATAAGGCTTTAAAGATTTGAAGATTTATTTTTACACTCATGACACACAAGGTGTGTTACAAGAGGTCAACATCTTAATACATTTCAATTATATAGCAAAGTGAGTACAGATTGTTTATATATAACACTACAGAATAATAGCACAGCATTTTATCTTATGTCACTTAAAAATATTTTTTATGATAAACCAAATGGAATGTATGTGGATATTTTTTGGCGGATGAAGAGTCGATATCCTCTCAGGGTATGGTAGAAGGTGGACCACGATGGTGAAATGCCGTTTTACTACTGATTTACCATTCTCGAAAATAAGTGATATACATTTTCAATGTGTACATAACACCGAAAATTATTTCTTCGCAGCTTATCAAGAGGTTGGTGTAGTATATAAGTCTCTGGTTTGTGTCATGTTTGTTATTTAAGATATAATGTTACATGTAGTTACATTATTTTGAGATAAAAATTAAAAGAGTAAAAAAGAATTGTGATTTCAAGTCTCTGGCGAACTAAAACTTAAACGAAATCGTGGAGACTTCCATCTGACATGAAATAGACACGTGAATACAGTTTTTTAAAACAATGAACGTTTTAAGGATTTTTTCGAAAATATGAAAAAGAACATCCTTTTACGTGTCATTTAGAAACATAAAATATGCAGTCATTTTTGGAAGTCAGTGACGTCATTGTCATTTTACGACGTCATGGATGACATGCTACAGTAGTTCAAACGCAAGATATATGGTATGGGTTTATTCACCGCATATCGTGACAATCGTATTATGAATATCTTTCCAATGCTGCTTTCTATTTCAAGC